TTTTTTTCCTCTTCCTCTTCCTCTTCCATGGAGTTCCCTGAACTCTACCTAATGTTTGGCTATGGATATTTGTATCTGCTTCTATCAGTTGCTGGATGGAGCTTCTCTAATGAAGATTATGCTAGACCCAGATCTACTTCTATAACCAGGCAAGGATTTCAGTGATGGGAGTGGGAAATACCAACTGGTACTTTCTTATTATTTTATCTTTGCCCTAATTTTATTGTTCTGTTTGTTCCACTTTGCCCAGTCCTCAAACATCTGCCCTCTCCTTTCCCCAATCTGTTGGTGAGACTTTCCAGGTCGCTTTTTATTTGATTGATGGATATTTCCCAGTATTTTAGATTGATTTTTCTTCAATATCTATTTGTTGAATTGCTCTGTGAGACCTTGCATCACTTCCCTTATTCTAGTCCCCTATTTGTGCTGTCAATAAGGAGCTTCTTTTCTTGAGTGCTAAACAGTCTAATAATTCTTTTGAGTAGATTACCTGTGATTTTATCTAAGTAAAAATATGCTGTAACTGTAGGATTTTTACTTTTTAGAGGAGTTACATTGCTTTGTTGTTGGTTTTTGTTTATGTGTTTCTTATATGTCTGTCTTGCATTTTAGTTAGTCAAAGTAGTTATATTGTTACCGTGGGAAATAGATGTGGTGGAATTAAAGTACATAATTCAAAATATAATTCCTCAGACCAAGAATACAGAGTTCATGGTGTAAATTCTGTGTTATTCTAAGTAGAATATTAATCACAAGAATACCAATTGATGCTAAATATTACCATTTTGTAATGTTTTAATAACCAACTATCAACAGTTATCCCCTTAATTTAGATACTATTAGATAACAAAACAATCAAGGATAGTTTGGAGTATCCTTGAATTTTAGTTAATATGGTGAGTATTTGGAAAGAATTTAGGACAGGAATAAATATTAACTAACCTGAAAGGAAGAAATTGAGGTGGTATTAAGTAACTGCAAGGGGGAAATTGAGATGCTGTTAGGGTACACTGGATTATTAATGCTGTTAAAGGTTATAATTAAGCAAGAGAAGGGAATATGGAAAAGAGAAAAAGAGCAAGAGGGGAGTGCATAAGCTAGGTGTGAAAGATATAAGATGACTGAGAGTAGACTGTATGAAAAATCCTAAAACTTAATACATAGACAAGAGCAAAGATCAAAACTGTCATGAGACACATGTGTAATAATAGAGATTCAGTAATAGTAAATAAGAAGTAAAAAGGATACTTATAAAATAGATTTCTAGCACTTCTGCTCTGAATTGAAAGACGAAGTTATCTCTCTGGTCTAGCATATAATACTACGGTCCATATAATACTAGGTGGGGGAGATACAAAGAGTAGCTCTGGGTTTTGCAGCCTTCCTGTTTCCTAGAGTGCTGGGATATGGACAAGGGGAAGTTTGTAAATGCTTTCCTTGGACGTCTTTGGATGTTTACAGCTTACACTCACCTCTTCTGGTCTTAAGACTCTGGCATAAGTATGAGCAAAATTTCCCTTTGCAGTTTGTACTAGTTTTCCATGAAGCTTGATTCAGCTTCATGGATGGGTTCAAATCAAGTGGGCTTGTAGCAAGAGCCAAACTTTCAGATCTCTAGCCTGCTTTTCTTCAAAAATCTTTCTGACTTAGAAAATTTATCTGGAAGGCTTGTTTCTAGCAGACAAAAGGCTTACCATGTATTATCTTGACTATTACCATTCATCATTTTGTGATGAAATCTAAGCTAAACAGTTTTAACATCTTGCTCCTCCCTACCTCTTTGAGACTTCAGCAGTCCTGCTTGCCTTAACACTTTCTTTGTTCCTCTTGGCTTATATTAACTCTATTTCTGTCAAAATAAGTTTCTCAGTAATTATTTTTTATTCCATGAGGTTTATTACATATTATCCAAGAGACTTATCTACAAAGATTTTCCAAATCTGTTTCTGATATTTTTATTTCTACTGAGGTAGTTGAGGGAGAGTATCTTGAATCTACTCATAAAAATCCTGTTTTATTGAGGTACCTGCATGTCACACCATGTTAGATACTGTTTTCTCTAGCCTTTTTGTCTTTATGTATTTATAGAAGAAATTCTGTAGTCACATTCTGGTTTTGCTCAATAGCATCCTTTAAGAAAATCAAATTATCTCAGATGGGTGTGATGGAACATCCACTCTGTCTCTTCATATCACTGTACCATGTTTATTGTTTGGAAACCAAGGGTGACAATGTATGTCATTCCTTAGGAACAATTCACCTTCTTTTTTAAGATAGACTAACATTTCACTGATTCAGCCACTGAGTACAGAAAATATTCCTGTCTCTATTTTTCCAACAGTGGATTTACTGGTATTTCTACCACACATGTATCTTATTTTATTTTCATAAAAATATTGTAATACATATAACACAATATATTCTGATCATAGATTCTCCTCCTTCAGGTCCACTTCATTCTTCTAACTCCATAGTTCTTTCTCTGTCTTTAGAAAATAGACATGCAAAGCAAATAAACAGTCAGCCCAATTTAAAACAAAAAAGAAAAATTACAAGAATGCACAAGAAACATAAAAGTACAAAACCCATAAAAACACAAAAATTGAAGCCGAACATACATGCAAAGGATCAGCAAGATTTTTTTAAAAAGTCCAAACAGAGGAAAATGAACAAAAAGTTGACAGAAATTTCATTAAGTTCACTTACCCCATACAGCATTTCACATAGGTACTGTGAGTCAAAACAAAGTATTAATGTTTATAACAGAAAGCATGTACTGAGTGAACTATTTTCATAGTATTTTCTTCCATGTAAAACCATGTTGAGTACTTCTCATCTTTAAAAATCTTTCTGGTTTCTAAATTGTCATTTTAAATTCAGGTTCATCTTCTGAGACTTGACCACTTATCCTACCCAAGCTAATCAACTTAAATTCATAATATTTGGATTACATTGAAAATTTTCATGTGGATAAACCATAATGACCCACATTCATAGGCTGTAGTGCTTTTCATATTGTGGACATATTTGCAGCATGGAACAGAATGGGTTAGATAACTAAAGATAGTTTGCTTGCTTGGGAAACTTAATTTCCTTGAGTCAGTTGCAGCTACAAAGCCCAGTACTTGTTATCTTGTTCTAATCACATGTGTATGTTTACTTTAGTTTAGTTTTGCTTTTCAAAACAGGTTTTCTCTGTGTAGCAGTTTTGGGTGTCCTGGAACTCACATTGTAGACCTGACTGACCTTGAACTTATAGAGAGCTGCTTGCCTCTGCTTCCTGGGTGCTGCAATTAAAGGCATGCACCAGCACACCTACTTTCTCACACTTAATGTATTTAAAAAAATTGTATCACTCTTAGTCTTAGATCATAAATCATGTGTTTTGTCATTTCCCTAATATTCACTTACTCAATTTAGATATCTTCAAAACCCTGTATTACTTTTACAACCTTCTGTTTCACATGCTGCCCCATAGAAAAAGATTATATCAGGCAGATAGTTTATCCCCAGTTTCCAAATTACATATGGAAAATTATTTATGAAGTTCTAGAAATGGTATTTTCAGATTACTATTCATTCTACATTTGTAATGTTATAATAAGTGCTACAAGAAAATAATGTAAATATCCTTGTAGATAAGGTAAGTGTGCAATAATTCTATGAATTTAGTTTTTACTAACCTTTTCTTATTAACCTTCCCAATATTTCTATGTGTGCTTCATAGTCTTTTGATTCATATTTTGGTAGATTTAGTTTGTGACATCTAAAGCAAAGTTATAACTAATTCTTTTAAAAAAAATGAAACACAATACTTCAAAGATGAGAGATTAATTCTTTGAAGAAAAACTTCAGAATTATTAGTTTGCTTGGTTTTACCATAAGTAATCTTAGAATTTGTGATGAACAGCAAGGAGGGCACTTATGTTTTAGTCTAGATAATTATCTATAATAGGGCCTATGTTTTTATTGTTTTCATAATAATGAAAAGTCTCTTTGCAGTTTTTCAGGATGCTTTGCATACTTTTGACCATCATCATCCGCCTATGACGTGCATGGCAGGTACTACTACCCTAATTGAAAGAGGAGACTGAAATTCAGAGGTTAAGTGGCTTGCCCAAAGTCACACTCTTAAGTGTGCATCAATTTGGGCTTTATCTACTTCTTTTGATCTTAAATGCTATCTCTCATATGAATGATGTTTAATTTAGGCATTTGGTTTTTCTATAAAACATTGGGCTTTTCTACAAATTAGAATTGTCATAATACCTGAATTTTCGTTACATTTTATTTTTTATACATCTCCCCACCATAAATAATAATTCTGTTCCCACTTGTGGCTTTCATTAAGACCAGAATTTACTGAATATTATCATGATGTGCCAATTTTGTGATGCTGGTTAAGTCATTTATTCTCAATTAGGTTTAAACTGTTTTTACTTTCATTCTTTATATATAGAATGAAACTAGATTAGGTATATACTATTCTAAGGAACTTCTGTTGGATTGAAAAACTGGGTCTTGAGAAGAAGAGCTAAAGGGAATGCAGTTATGTAGGTATGCCCTACCTCTGCTGTCCTCACTGTTTGATCCCTGACAAACAGCTGAAGTTTCATTCATTTAACTATACAATCAGATACATATTTTCAACCAATTATCTCCTGTCCTTAACTGTGGACTCTATCTTGCTTTTCATTTATACTCAGATGTTTCTCAAAGGATGGTTTTGTCACTGCCAGTATCACATACTAAGTTATAGATGTTACTTTCTTCTGTGTCCATAGACTAGATTTCCTGGCCTTGTTGCTTTTTTGTTTTTTTTTTTTTTTTTTTAAGTTCTTTTGTCAATTACTTTTTCTTACATAACCTAAAAATAGATTCACATTATGTACATAAGTGATAATAGCCTGCTTTTCTCATATAAATTTTAAAACATTTACTTTGTGATATGTATGCTTACCTGAAAATTGTCTTTTTAATTTTAAATTTAAGGAGCTGATACAATACACATGGATGGTGATCAGATTATTGTGGAAGTACAAGAAACGTTTTTTTTATCTAATTCAGATGTAACTGTCCATAATTTTATTCCTGATGATCCAGACTCAATTATAATCCAAGATGTTATTGAAAATGTTGTTATTGAAGATTTTCATTGTTCACATATTTTAGAGGAAACAGATATATGTGATAATGTCATCATTCCTGAGCAAGTGCTTGATTTAGATATAACTGAAGAAATATCTTTAGCACAGTTCCCAATTCCAGACCTGTTAGCTTCTAGTATTACATCAACCTCCTTGACTATGCCTGAACATGTGTTGATGAGTGAAGCTATACATGTGTCTGAAGTGGAACATATTGAACACGTAATTCACAATAGCATAGTAGAAACAGAAGTCATCACTGACCCTCTGACAGCTGACATTTCAGAAATATTAGTAGCAGATTGTGCTTCTGAAGCAATCTTAGATTCCAGTGGGATGCCTTTGCAACAGCAAGATGATTCCAAAATCAACGCTGAGGACTGTCTTATGATTTCTTGTAAGTCTTGAGCTACAATGATTATCAAAAGTTTTTTTGCTTGTTTGTTTTTGCTTGTTTTGTTTCATTTTAGACTGGTTCTCATTATACCATTTGCTAAACTTGAACTGGTGATTCTCTTGTGTGACACTGCTAAGTACTAAAGATTTTAAGTGTGTGCCACCATGCCTGAATTATCAAGGCAGTGTTTTCTGTTTTGTCTTATATGCAAGTATCCATACTTGTTGTGTATGTATATTCAGGTGCATAAACAGGTGTTTATATTAGTGTGGAAGCCAGAGGTTAACATGGTTTCTCTTCTTGATGGTTCTCTACCTTTATTCTTTGAGACCAAGATCTCTCAGTGTACGTGAAGGTAATCATTTCTGCTAGATTAGCTGGCCAGTAAAGTTTAAGGATACACTTGTCTGCCAGCACTAAGGATGTGAAGAAGGGGAGATCATAAATTTTTATTGCCCAACTGTTATTACATAATGATTCACCATTTTAAAAACTAAAATACAATTTTGTTTTTATCTTGATCAGTAAAGTTATGTTGTCTCTACATTTGGACTCTTTGAATTTCTTAGAATTTTATGGGGTTTTATATAAATCATATCTGTAGATCTAGGCTATTCTTTCTTGATCTACTTCTTCACCTCATTTATGATTTGTCTCCTAGGATTTGAGTCTCTTTTTTTTAATTAAGACTGTATGGCATTTTATAAATCATGTGTGACTATCAGTTTCAGTGTCAGTGATATGAGGCCATTTATACTTGCGTTACTATTTTCTGCCAAAAAGAAATGTGTTAATGGTATATAATTGCAGGTTATTTGTCTCAGAGTTTCTTTTACTGCAGTGAACTCCATGACAAAAAAGCACTTGGATAGGGAAGGGATTATTTGGCTTACACAGGAAGCCAAAACAAGAACAGAAACAGGGTGAGAACCTGATGTCAGGAACTATTGCAGAGGCCATGGGGGAGTGCTGCCTAATGGCTTGGTCCCTGTGTCTTCCTCAGCCTGCCTTATAGAACCCAGGAACACCAGCCCAGGGGTGGCAGTCACATTAATTACTAATTAATGCTTACTGACTCTAACTACATTCCAGGCTTGTCGAGGGTTTTCTTAATAGGTTCCCTCCTCTCAGATGATTTTAGCTGGTATTAAGTTGACACAAAATTATTCAGCACAGTATTAAAACAGATTTTTGTCCTCTGTAAGAACAATGAATGATCTTAACCATATCTCTAGCCACATTTATACAGTATTTTCTTTGTAAATTTACTTATTAGTGTATGTATAGTATATATATATCTATATATATATGTACATATATATATACATATATATGTATGTATATATATATATATATAGATCAGAAACAGAAGGTATGCTTGTGCTCTTATAGAGGTGGAGATTAGAAGAAAATTTTCAGAAGTCATTTCTCTCCTATTATGGGTTCTGAGGATCAAATGCAGCCTGTCAGACTTTGGAGAGCTAGTACCGTTATCAAATGTGGAGCTGGCTGGTCAGCCTTGACTCAGATCTGTTTCAAAAAGAAAAAAAGCAGCCACATTTTGCTTCTATATCCTCTGTGAAGGTTTATAATGCACTCCCTGTCTTATTTAGTGGATGATGCTGGCAAAACAGATCATGAAGGTTCCACTGAGGTTACCATGCATGCAGAACCAGAAATAGATCATTATAGACTGGATGGCACATGTCCTGAAGTTATCAAGGTGTACATTTTTAAAGCTGACCCTGGAGAGGATGACCTAGGTGAGGCGGAAATCATGTATTCTCATTATATCATATATATATATATATGTGTGTGTGTGTGTGTGTGTGTGTGTGTGTGTGTGTGTGTGTGTGCATACATACACATATATGTATATTTGCATCATATATAAATACACACACACATATATATGATTTTACATTATACAATGTTCTGATTGTGTTTGTTTTGAGGCATGGTCTCACATGTAGCCCTCGCTTGCCTGTAACTCACTCTGGTTGATTTCAGACTCACAGCAGTATGCCTGCCTATACTGTAATGAAAGCATGTTTCTGAGACCTGATGTTACTCAGAATTTAAAAAGCTATTTAGGTTGGTGGAAATATTGAAAGCATGTTTGAAGATAACTTTAAGACATTTCTAATGTAATATACAGACACTGAAAAAAGTAGGCCTACTAAGTCAAATAAATGAAGATCCAAATTATTTCTCATAGTTTATTTTCTTATAGGACAAACTATAGACATTGTAGAGAGTGAAACTAACAATGATGATGGAGCTGAACTATTTGATCAGAACAGCACTATTCATGCTCCCAGAGACAAAATGGTTTATATGACTATCAGTGACTCTCAGCAGGAAGATAAAGATTATAGTAAGTAGATGGCTTAGAGTTCAGATGGATTTATGTTTCTATAAGCACTGATTCTTTTTATATGTATATATGTATCTGTGTGTATATATTTTTTTCTTATTTTACCTATCAACCCCAGTTCCCCCTCTCTCCCAAGACCCCTGACCCCCCTCCCACCCTCCCACTCCATCACCCCCACACACACTTCCTTCCAGGAAGGATAATCAAAATCTGTCAAGTCCTTTGGAGTAAGGACTAGGCTTCCCTCTTGCCTGTAGGCTAAAACACTGATTCTTTTTAAGGCAAGATATATAGCAACAGCCCTGTTATAGAAATTATATTACCATATAGCAAAGGATATCATTATCTTTCCATGTATGTTTACATTGTTGCTTTAAAAATAAATAGAAAAAAAAAAGGCACAGTGACAGACACCTGTAATGTAGCACTTGAAGGGCTGAAGCAGGCGGATTTTTAATGGCAGGTTGAATTGCAGAATAGCCTGGTATTATTATGTATGAACTTGTATTAAGAACCAAATAAATAAACAAAAAGAATAAATTACTGAAATAAAAAAGTGAAATATACCCAAACTTCATTGTATATTTACTATGATGTTTTCTAGTACTATATTTATTTTTTTCTGAGATTGTACTAAATTTAGTCACAAAAGGATTTAATAATTTGTGCTTAGATGTTGCTGAAATAACAAATGAGGTTTATGTGGAAGTGATTGTAGGAGATGAAGATGCTGGTGGCACAACAGCAGCTGTTGTACATGAACAACAGATGGAAGATAGTGAAGTGAAGGCAACTTTCACGCCTGTTGCATGTGCAACAGCCTGTGGTAAGTAACAATTTGAGGATTTAATACTGATTTACTCATTCTTGTTTGAGGTATGAGGTATATATACGTATGTAGCGGTGTGTATGAATGTGGTTGCAGGCATATGTGCATATATGTAGAGATAGTTGTATGACATTAGTCCTGGAGAGATTTTAAGAGATGTCTAGTCATTCCAGATAGGGAAACAATGACTGAAGTATGGATACCAGAAAAATCCAGCGTGGTGAGCCAGTGAGTTTATTGAAATTATTGGAATTACAGGAACAGAAATGACTCAATGAGAGCTACCTGCATTGCCAAAAACCCATGTAGCATGGCAAATGAAAGCTGAAATCCTGGAACTTCCTGTGTAACCCATGGGCATTTTTGATAGGTTACAGAGTAGCTCTTTCAGGCAACTCAAGTATTGTGACTCTCTTCCAGGTAGCATGGCTTGTATGAGCATCTTCAAATAGCTCAGTTTTCAATATATGTTTAAATTGTTGCTTTAAAAATAAATAGAAACAAAGGCAAGGTGACAGACACCTGTAATCTAGCACATGAAGGGCTGAAGCAGGGGAATTTTTAATGGCAGGTTGAATTCGCTCTCTTTCCTTACTGCCTAAATATGTTTGAGGATAAAGGGATACAGTGTGAGTAATTAATCAGGGACATCCTGAAACTTTGGATTTGTATGAGTCTTGAGCATAAGGAACTTCACTTCAAGATGTGAGGTTTCACCTTTCTTTAAAGCATTGTGTGCCTTAACAAGCTTCTTTACTAGATAGAAATTGCTACACAGAGACAAAGGACAATCTTACATACTGTTTCTCAGAAGATATAATGTACCTTGTTTTTTAAATACAGTCTCTTCTTTGGCCTCACTCACTAGACTTGCTAGCCAGAAATCAGCCTGTCTCTGCTTTTCCAGTGATGGGATTACAATTAGGCATCTCCATATTCAACCTTCGTTTGTTTGTTTTGTTTCTTTTGTTCTTGTTTTTCAACATGGTGTGTAAGTATTAAACACAAGTCCTCATACAAACACTTTATGAACTAAGCTATCCCTCCAATCTCTTATCCATTTATGGTGAAATGGTTTTTGAGGTCTTAAGATTAAATAAATATGAAGTAATTCAGTGGGTGATTTAGACAATAATGGGAAATTCAGAATATATAGTTCTTATTTCCTTTTACCTAATTAAAAGTACAGGGACTTAATACCTGGAGTTTGTTCAATTTTCTTTTGTATTGACTTCTGTCTTTACAATTTTAGAAACTGCTAGATGTGCATGTTAGGTATTTTTCCTGTACTTTTCAACTAAATGTGCTCTTAAGCCTATTACATAAATAAAGGAATTTCTGCCATTATTGAGTAATCTGATTTTACTTTTCATTGTTGTATTTAATAAAAAAAAAACCTCATTTTGTAATTTGTGTAATTTGTATATCATGTGTTTGATGCACATTTTTAGGTGAAAACCAGAATGTCACTGCAAGGCCTGTCTCTCACCTAGATGAGTCTGGTGACCTTGACAGACTGCCAAAACGAAAACTAAAGAAAAAAAGAAGACATGCGTCCAGACACTATCCAACTGGTAAGCCAGAAAAAAAATTTAGGGTGTAGTGTTCTGAAGATTATGTGAGGAAATGCTGGGGAATATCCACAAAAGTGCAATGATGGTTTTACCACTACTAAACCCCAGGTGGCTTTTGGGCATTGAATTTGAAAATAAAAATTCCCATTCATTGATATTTGTGAATTGCTTAATGATGTAATAAAAAAGACAGGATACAGAACAGAAGTTAAGAAAAAGGAACTTAACTCTCTGATTGTTTTGTTTGAACAGAATAGAAATCCATAAAATGTGTTACTCTTTCTTGGTGGGGTCCAAGACTGACCTCAAACTAGTGACAATCCAGCTTCCTCAACCTGTCCATAATTATTGGCATGTACCATCTAATTCCAGTGTTAGTTTACTCAATGTGAAGATTAAACAGTAACACTTTTCTTTGTGCATTTATTTCTGTGTTTTGTTTGAGGACAAATTCTTCATTTGCAGCTCAGCCTGGCAAAGAATTTTTCGTCCTTCTGCCACTCAATACATGAGCTACAGGCATTTACTTCCACCAGAGCATTTAAACAGACATCACTTAGAGAAACCAGGGAATATATGTTAGCAGCATATATTCATTCCTTGGTTGTTTATAGGGACAGAACAGCTTTGTACATTAAATTTTGTAGGTGTTGTTGAAGAATGACACAGATTATTGAAAGTTTGGATTGTAATAAAGTTAATTAAATGTTTAACTTTACTTACAAATTATTTCCTTTGGGTCTGTAAGTTGATAGGGCTTCATTTTTATTTAAAAAAAAATTGGAAGGAATGAAGTTAATCTAGTCATAGTGGATCCAGTTCTTTCTTGTGATTGCAATATGAATATTGAAAAGCACTGACAAGAATGTTAAAAACTGATAAAGTCCAAGAACATACTTTAATTTTATGTTTTTATAAATGTTTACTTAAAGTGGAAACAATCTTATTTTACTTATTAATACCAGTTTCCTCTTTTTCCAATCCTCCCATGGCCCCAACCAATGTCCCCATCCCACACCCTATCCCCTCCCCAGGGAGAGTGAGGCTTCCCATGGGGTATCATCAAAGCCTGTCACATCATTTAGGGCAGGGCATAGGCCCTCCCCTGTGTATCTAGGCTGAGAAAGTATCTCTCCATTGGGGAATGGGCTCCCAAAGCTAGGAACCTACTTTAGACTTAATGAAGAAATGAAAAATAAAATAAAATTTGCCTTTGTCTCTTCGTCTTTTTTAGCAATAATTGTTGGTCCTGATGGACAACCTTTAACAGTCTATCCTTGCGTGTTTTGTGGAAAGAAATTTAAGTCTAAAAGTTTCTTGAAAAGACACTTGAAAAATCATCCTGAACACTTGGCCAATAAAAAATACCACTGCACTGACTGTGATTACAGTACCAACAAGAGGATAAGTTTACATGATCACCTGAAGAGGCACAAGATGACCAGTAAGGCTGGAAAGGACACAGAGTGTGATGAGTGTGGGAACCATTTCTCCCATGCTGGGGCTTTATGTATTCACAAAACAACTCATGGAGAGAAAGAAGCCAGCAAAACATACAAGTGTAAGTTCTGTGACTATGAAACAGATGAACAAGCGTTATTGAATCGCCACCTTTTGGCAGTCCACAGCAAGAAGTTTCCTCACATTTGTGTAGAGTGTGGTAAGGGTTTCCGTCACCCGTCAGAGCTCAAAAAGCACATACGCGTTCACACTGGAGAGAAGCCCTATGAATGCCAGTATTGCGAGTACAAGTCTGCAGACTCCTCTAACTTGAAAACACATGTAAAAACTAAGCATAGTAAGGAGATACCATTGAAATGTGACATCTGTGTGCTGACTTTCTCAGACACTAAAGAGGCACAGCAACATGCTCTTACCCACCAAGAAAGCAAAACACACCAGTGTTTGCACTGTAACCATAAGAGTTCAAACTCAAGTGATTTGAAGCGACACATAATTTCAGTTCACACAAAGGACTATCCTCATAAGTGTGAGATGTGCAACAAAGGGTTCCATAGGCCTTCAGAACTCAAGAAACATGCAGCTACCCATAAAAGTAAAAAAATGCACCAGTGTAGACACTGTGACTTTAAGAGTCCAGATCCGTTTGTGCTCAGTCGCCATATTCTCTCAGTTCACACAATGAGTGTCCCATTCAAGTGTAAGAGATGTAAAAGGGGATTTCGACAACAGTGTGAGCTTCAAAATCATATGAAGACACACAGTGGCAGGAAAATGTATCAGTGTGAGTACTGTGAATATAGCACTACAGATGCCTCAGGCTTCAAGCGACACGTTATCTCCATTCATACCAAAGACTATCCTCACTGTTGTGAGCACTGCAAGAAAGGATTCCGGAGACCCTCGGAAAAGAATCAGCATATAATGAGACATCATAAAGAAGTTGACCTACCCTAAGAATATATCCTAATCGGTACAGGTGTTGAGTTTGAAACAGGAAATTTATTTTAAAAGCATTCATCCTTGCTCACACCAATATTGTGAATTTGTTAAGTGGGTATAAATACAATATTGTTTTTATTTGACTTTACATTTTATTCGGTAGGGATTCCTATGTCCTGCAAACTTTATTTACTAAGTGAGAGAAACAAATCTCCTTTAACAATATAATCCTTGATTCTATGCTGAATTTTTTGTCTGAGAAGCCTTACTACCAAACTTTACTCATCTTGATATATTTTCTAGGAAAAATCTTAGTGTTGTTAACATGGAAAGTAATTTTGATACAAACTACACATTGAGATATTGCCAGCATAAACGAGAGATTCTTCTGACATGTCTGAATACCAGCTATGGAAAATATTTCTTTGTCTTAATCTTTTCAGATTTTTGACAATCAACTTCTATTTGAGTGTCTACCACCACTGATTTTAGGAGGGTGACTTGATTTGGGCTTAGTTGTCATTTTTGCTTAGTGGTCATTTTGACTTTGCCTATAGTACTTAGCATTTTTTTTCCTTTCCTCTATAGCAGAATTTTAGACAACCTTAATGAAAAGTTTTGCTTATTCTTGATTTTTAATACTTTGTAGTTTGTCTTGCAGTTTTATTCATAAATAAAAACTGAACATTGCTGACCTATAAAAGTAAATTGGGGCTTATAGAGCATTTTACAAACTGGCATTGAAATTCAGTTTAAATATTAAGTGATCTGCCTGTTCCTGCCAACAACAAATCTGTAATAGCAATGATTCAATTTGTAGTAACTTAAAAATGATGAGATATATAGGGTTATTTGTATACTTGGTATTCAGAAGAGCTAAAATTAAGCTGGATAACTAGAAGAAAACTAAGGACCTTACTAGAAGTAATGTTATTATCTCTGACTTTGATACTTGAAAAGCAGAAGCTAAGGTGTTTATAAAGATAAAATATTTTGATAAATTTTTAGCATTTTACTTAAAATTTTATGGGATGAAGATATAGGCCCAGCTCTTTATTTTCCTCTGAATCCTGACTTGAATGAAAATAAAAACTCAGATGTTGTTGTGATATCATTTTAGAAACTAAATCCTATGACAACAGAGAGCTAGCAGCAAATTCAGCCAGCCTTTGCCTGTGTGTGTGTGTGTGTGTGTGTGTGTGTGTGTGTGTTTTCATAGTACACTTGTTTTTGAAAAGATAGCATATGTGTTAGTTGGTTTTCTTACTTTTTATTTGAGAGTTAACATTTTAAACAGTTATGCGTTTATTGGTTTTGAATCTTAGGAATTTTGGGGAAAAAAATGACATTTATTTTGTTCCTTCAATGAACTTGTGTGTATCTGATACGTTGTGAGATTCTTGAAGAAAAAGAATTTCTTACTTGATAATAGCACCTTTGTCTCTTATGGCATTCCCTTCTAATTCTGCTGCCAGGTTTAACCTCTTTTTTTTTCTTTCTTTCTTTCTTTTTTTTTTTGTGCCACTGATAATTATATTCAAAAGTTACATTCATAGGATTAGAACCCCAAGTAACTGGTGCTTGGCATCCTCTGAAAGATGCTAGATTTATGTTCAGTACTAAATACATAATTCCTTCAGTACAAGGGCATTAAGATGTTGCAAACTAAAGTTAAGAGCAACTGAGTGCATCCCCTGCAGATTTTTAGTTGCTATTCAGTGTTCTTTTCTGAAACAATCTATTCTTTATGTTTAAGAATCTTTTAATCTTGAATTTCCCTTTCTCCTGAAGCAATATAATAAGGTATATGTTTAATGAAAATTTTCACTATAAGAATTCAAATAAACTTAATACTTTATAAACTTTGTGTTTCTAACAGTCTAGAGATATACTGTATTGTTTTATTTTTTAGTACAACTTTTAGTACCAACTTTTGATAGGTGACACTAGTTTGGTAAATGTTATAAACTTACATAAAAATAAATTGTACTTAGTGTTATTTACTGTAACCATATGGTCTTACTTTTTTTTTTTTTTTTTAATGATAAGGGAAGCTAGGAAACTTGCTCCAGCCAAAGCTTTATAAAAGGTACGAAGTCTTAAAGGAAGTGAGTCATTTAATTGGAATGGCCTGTTGAATATTTTCTTTGTACACATTATGAAATTCCACAATATGCTTAAGAGAAGTGACATTGTAACTGTGTACTTGACACTGACATACATAAATAAAATGAGACTACTTCCCTGTTAATAAATGTTTTTGTATCTGACACCAGTGAGTAGACTGTTATTGGGGGAGGGGAATTCATCCTGTATTGAAAAATGTATTTTTGTGTGTGTGCGCCAATCAGAGCATATGTGCAGATGTCAGAGGACATATTCTAAGAGCAAAATACAAGGGCCCCAGGGATCAAATCCAGGTTATTAGGCTTGGCAAAAAGTGCCTTCTTATCTACTCATCCAACTCACAGTCCCAGTATCCCAGGGGACTAACAATTTCTCACATGTTTACACAGGTGAAAATATTGATAATCCTATGAACTTAGAGGTGGTACTTGAAATTAGATGAGAGCTAATTGGTGAGTCATTTGGTAAACATGTTCTTGTAATGCTCTTTTTGTTTGTTTGTTTTATGTTACTCTGAAATAGTATGCAGCCTTGGATGGCCTGGAATTTACTATGTACACCAGGCTGGCCTCCAACACCCAAGTACTGGGATTAAAGGAATGTGCCAGCGTACCTACCCAAACAGTAATTATTGACATAACACAGACCCAGAAAGACAAATGCTGCACCATTTGTCTCATATGTGGGTCTTAGCATTGAATCTTTAGATTTTTGCATTTAAACGGGAGTTCCTGTGAAGTGAGGAAACTCGAAAGGGACCTTACTTAGGTCAGGAATGGGGAAAATTTAAAGGAGTGGCAATAGAACACAAGTGGTATGAAGAGAAAAGGGAAATAATAGGACAGGAAGAGTTAATTGGTGTGGATAAGTAGGCAGGATACAGGAGAGCCTAGGAAAGGCATAACTCACACTAAGAACTGAATTTTTCACCACCTCGCTGATAACATGGTATATAAAGCCTTTGTACTTATTTTTGGTTTGCATTATTGACCTTTACAGTTTGTGTTTGTGTGTGTGTGTGTGTGTGTGTGTGTGTGTGTGTTTGTGTGTATGTGTGTGTGTGTATGTGTGTGTGTGTGTGTTTTCCTTTTTTTCCCCCTTTCATTCACATTTGAAACAAGCTTGTTTTACATGTCAATCCCAGTTCCCTCTCCCTTCCCCCCTTCCCTGATCCCCTCCCAACACCCATCCCAATCACTTCTGCTCCCAGGGAAGGCAAGGCCTTCCATTAGGGATATTCAATTTGCAGCAGGTCCTTCATTTGCAGCAGGACCCAGGCCCTCCCCCATGTGTCTAGGGTGAGGGAGTATCCCTCTATGTGGAATGGGTTCCCAAAATCCATTTGTATACTAGGGATAAATACTGATCCACTGCCTGACCTCCTTTTGAAGTACACCATTATCATTCCATTTGAAAGTAATTTCCGCACGTATTGTTCTTTTAAGTCTTTCACAGGACATTTTGCAGAAAACAAAACAAAACAAAACAAAAGTGTGTGTGGATTTTATTTCTAATAAACAGGTGACTATTATGGTTTCACATTGTAAAATAAAATTGTTCTCCAGGAAATTAAAATGTAAGACTGCATAGTAATAAAACATGTTGCCTAACTATTTAGAGACTTATTTTTATAGCTAGAATTTTTTCATATTTCCTCTGATGTTTTTGAGATTATAGTATAATTGCATTATTCTCCCTTTTCCCTTAAATTCTCCTGTATACCACTCCTTACTCCCTTAAATATATGATCTCTTTTGTTACATGCATATATGTACTTACATATGTATTACTAATTACAACCCATTCTGTCTGTATAATTTTACGTGTATGTATGTTTTCAGGGATGATCATTTGGTACTGGATGACTAGTTGGTGTGTTCTTCCCTGGGGGAGACTTTCTCTCACATTGAGCACTACTTAGTTTCCTACAGTTTTTGTTTTTTTGTTTGTTTTGTTTTTTGTGCAGTTGGTTAAGGCCTGTGGTCTTGGTCCCATCCCCTTTATCATGTCTGTGTTGTTTTCAGCTCATGTTAGGCAACTATGTTAGAGAGAGCTTAAACATTACTTGGAGACAGTCTCACAGAAATCTCTCTGATCCTCTGGTTTTACATCTTTCTGCCCCATTTTTTGGAAACTGCCTGAGCCTTGGGTGCCAGAGTTGTTTTATAGATGTATCCAATATTAACAGTATAGTTAAGAGACTATGCTACTTTAATAAAGTGGTGCTTGTAGGTGTTCTAAAATATCCTCTAGTCCCATGGGTACTTGGTAGGTTTCTAGGGTCAGGCATAATTAATTACACTTTTGTTCAGTGGATGCTAAGTGAAAGTAGAGAGCCTTCTATATGTCCCATATCAGAGTATCTGTGTCAGTACTGTATACGTATGACACCATGGTAGTCATTGATGTGGTTTGTAGGCATCATAGTTTTGTAGGGCTTTTGGTTACCTCCTTTTGGAACATTTCATGGCACCTTCTGGCATTTAGGTCACGTCTAACTCAGGATTCTCTATGTCTTGTGTCTGAAGTGCATGGTGCCTTCAGCAATAGGGACCTTAGCTTCTGCCTCTGGCAGTAACCAAGGGCAACAGCAACAGGCTGTGTGTTTTGGGAGTCTCGTGGACAACTATTGTCAACAACACTAAAGAGGCTTCTCATGTCTGATACTGGGTTTTTGCTAGGTGGTCTTTACCTCTGGGAGGGAGCAATGTCATTATTGAGCTTTACAGGGATGTGTTTGTTTTTGTTTTGTCTACTTTTACTTTCATTTTTCTTGCCTTTGTGTCTCCAGTTCTTCAAAAGTTAATTTTACTTCCTTGAGAGATTGGTACTATTTACCCTTATCTTACGCTTCCCTTCTTTGTGACAGTGACAGAATCTGAGGTGTC